TATGTTTTCATCAAGCTGACATAGGAGAATATATTCGATCGGAAGATTCTCTAATATAAATACATCTTATAAATAATATAATAAATTTAATTTTTATAATGCTAAATAAATAAATATAATTAAGGATTATCAACAGTACGTATATGTTTTCTCAAAGTATATTAAAGTCATATAAATTTTGATGTATCCGTAAAGAATAATTTATTTTATAACCAGCGTACAACATGATAAGTCTTCTTTCCAACTCTAAGTAATGATATATTATTACTTAATATATGTATCCCAGGTACAATGACTTCTCCCAAATTTGTAATTTTTTGGTTATTAATGTAAAAACCACCAGCTGCGATGATTCTCCTTGCATCATGATCCGTTTTAAAACATTTTGCTTTCATAGCTAAATCGTAAATGTTGATGCCTGGCTCGGAAAGAAGTTCTACTACAGTAGCACCTTCTAATATTTGTAGTATATCGTTCATTTGCATTTTTGCTAAGGAATCGATAGATTTGTCATAAAGAACAGCAGATGCCCTCTTTGCTGCAACTAATCCCTCTTCTGGAACAAAACGTGTTCAATTTAAATTTTTTATTAGTTAAGTTTTTAATCTTGATTAATCAAAAAAATTTACTTACCCCCATGAACCAATATTGTAACTTTCTCGGCTAGAATTTTTTGTGCCATTCTCAGTTCTGGTCTCTTAAAATGCTCTTCTATAATTTCTTTAATTTTACGTGTAGAGAGAAACGTAAAGAAATAAAGAAATTTTTCTACATTCGCATCTTCTACTCTAACAAAGTACTGATACAGTTGAAAATAAGAAGATCTCGCAGAGGAAAGCCAAACTGCATTGCCCGTAGATTTTCCAAATTTTTTTCCACCTTCAGCTGTGATTAATGGTAACGTCAATCCATAAACTTGCCTTTTAGTACATCTAGTGATTAAATCATAACCAGATATTATATTCCCCATTTGATCTTGACCACCAACTTGAAACGAGCAATTATATTTACGCTGTAACTGAAGCCAATCATACGCTTGAAGAAGTGGATAAGTGAATTCTGTGAAACTCATTCCACTTTTAGATTCTAATCTATCTCGCACAGATGTACGACCAAGCATAGTACCCATTCGAAAATACTTTCCAATATTCGTAACGAATGGAAGTAGATTCGTATCTTCATACCATTCTATGTTATTCAAAATTTTTATAGGAGTCAAACGTTGATGGTTTTTACAGAAATATTCTGCGTGATTCCTAATAATATTCATAATATTATCTTTTATAGATTCTACATTTTCATTGAGTATAACCTGTTCCATTTCAATTCGTTCTGTTTCTCTAAAACTTGGGTCACCGATTAAGCCTGTTGCACCTCCTAATAGGATAATCACTCGATGGCCACGACGTTGCCAATATAACAGATTCATAAGAATTAACAAATGGCCTATGTGTAAACTATCCGCCGTTGGATCAAATCCAGCGTATACGCATTGTGGTGGACTTTGCCATAATTTCTTTATATCTTCTCTAAAATATTAATTTATTTTTTAAAATTGGCTTGCTTTTAAAAGTAAAAATAAAATACTTCATAAACATTATATAAAGGTTCAAAAAAGATGTTAAGAATATACTTACTTGTAAATAGTAGGGAAAATATCGTCGTAGAATTGTCTATTTTCAGCATCTAATACATGTTTTGTTGAATATCGGCGAATATTAAAATACTTGGTAAGAGAACGTAGTCTCAGTATGTTATTCATCATTGCTGACATAAAGAAAAGCAAAACTTTATTCTAATATCAGTTGTCTTTGTATAGCATTTTAATTATGAAATTTTTATTTATCAATTGAATAATTTGCAAATCTTCATACGTGTATTTTATAAAAATTGAAAGAATTACGAAAATAAAATTATAAAAGTTCAAACCTATTAATTTATTTAATCAATTTTTCAAGTGAAAATTTGTGAAACGGTGAAATTAACCTCTTTGTAATATCATTAGGATAAACAAATTGTATCAATATGAAAGCCGAATTTCTACACTATCTACAAATTAAATTAAAATTTTAATTCAAAAACACTATTTGCAAAATATTATACCGATTTGTTACGAAATTAGTCAACTACATGTAATAAATGCAAATTGGCCGGGTTTGTAGCGACATCTATTCGGTCTTATTAAAAGTTACCATGGAGATATAACAAATTATTGATTACCAGTTACGAATAAATTGCCGAGAATATATATAACAGTAAATTAATCAACAGTCATTGATCATAATTTATCCATTAAATTCTGTATGATGTAAACGTTAAAATAAAGTATAAAATTTCCTTTGTGGTACAGTGACTTTATTATTTATCGATCATCGTATCTACAGGTTTTTACACGGTGGCGCCATCTAGCGTTAAACTATTGATACTAATAAATTTAAAAATTGCTTATTTGGGCATTTTATAGGTCAAACGAGGCATGAAAAAAAAGTTGGGGGTTTAATTAAAAAGATCCAATCGTAAAAGTTTACAAATTAATCCTCCAAATTGGTTTATTTCGCAAATGAAAATATATTCGATTTATGGACACTAAAACACTAGCGCCACGTAGCGGTAAAATGGAGGAACTAATCGCTAACTCTGTCCTTGCACAATATTACGCTCCTTGTCTACGAATGGTGCTGCTATCTAAACCATAATTCATTATCTCCATAATTGAAAGTATAAATTTACTTGTAAAGAATATTCCTCAAAAATAATGTCTCAACAATTCGTAATATAAATATATTAATGACAAGTAAAAAGTTGTTCAATGTTTTTTATTAATGAGTAAAATAAGTAAAAAGTATTTCAATGTTTTATGGCTCTTTTATTTTTGAATACGAGAAACTACAACTAGCTGATAAAAATTTATGAATAAAATTCATCGTTCGTAAAAGAAAAAAAAAA